ATCCTACTCTAGTGCAGTAAATCACGCACATGGTTCTCCGTTGACGTTCACGGTGAGCATAACTACTACGTTACTTGACGCTGTGTTGTTAAGCACTGGCTAGATCACAGAACTTTAGCGGAAAGTGTAATTAAATATTCCCGAACCCCGATATATTAGAAATAATTTATTCCGTACCTAGTATTAGTTAGTATGTCTGCCAACCTCGCCTAGACTTTGAAGAAACATGCCGCCAACCTCGCCTGGGCACTGAAAGTACATCAGCCAACCTCGCCTAGAAACTGAAAACAGGTCTGCCAATCTTATCAAGACATTGGCGGTACGCAACTGTCGTGAGCACGCACATGTTTGTTCCTTTTACGATTAAACTTGCCCATTTTCCAGTCTGTCAAACGCACCCTTTTAACTCACAAACTGGCAAGACCACTTTACTTTCCTGTTTTAAAAAGCGTGTTAACAGGGTGTTAAATGGGGAAATATTCAACTTAACGCTTCTAAAGAAATGTGGAATTATGTTAATACATTAACCACATGACGTTCAGTTTATAAATCGCGTGTCTTGCTTTTTACGTGTTGTGAGTGATAGTGGTGGAAAATAAAAACAACGTATATTATGCACATCTCGATCCTTAATGTTATCCCAACGAATGTTTCACTTGTGAGTTCATTCATTATTTGTTTCTCATTTATTATATAAATTAATATTCTACGATTGTTCAGTGCGACAACGTTCGGCCCCCGTACGTATGGTAGGTGTTCAACTCATAGTGGGATAGATGTACTAATTTTAAATTTGAATACCTATCTCTAACTTGTGTATTTTTAACTCACAAACATCTTTGCATTGAAACTGATCAAGCTCTGGTATTTCATTATGTAAAAAGTTCAGCAGAAAAATATTTAAATAATATTTTTAATTAGACGATATTAAACTTTTCTTCTACATGTCGACATATATAGATACAAATTTGAATTAGTTTGGCCAAAAGTGCTGATTAGCGGATGAAGAAAATTCACTAGTACGAAGTGTCGAGCACTTTATTATCAATTCAATACCCTATTCATTACGATAACTAATTCATTGTTGCAGTGGGCAGAAGGGAAACAATTATGCAAGGGCCAGTATCGTCTCGTCAGTGCGTATTACACAAGATGTACTATCTGTGACGTGTATCTTATACGTGATGATCGTCCAGTACCCAATTACTGTGTCGCTAAAAAGTATTGTATATTACATGTAATTGCTAAGTCTACTGGCCCCTTGGAAAGCGATATTGACTGACGTGTCACCTTGTTTTAGTAGAATTATTTCCTAGAATCTCTCACATTATTTAAGATCAAACTAAATTATATGGTTTTCATCTCGATAGACGGGCTCAACTCTTTGTAAGTTTTAGAGCACCTAATAACTGTAGGCTGTATATATATATAAGACGTGTCTGTAATCTTTATTCAAATCTTCCTTCTTTTATCTACCAAGATAATACTCGTGAGTGCACTTCAACCTCTCAAAGAGTGGGCACAATACCAGCCGTCAAATCGTCAAACGGAAATAGTTTACCCTATATCACCAAGCGATCGAGTCATGCCCAAAATATAAACAGCACAACATCCGTCAGTACACGCAAATCACCAACATCAATTCACACCCGTCGGTGTACGTCGAGCCCAAAGAGTTGACCTAATAGTTCGACTCGACGCGCGTCAAATCACACCAGGGAGAACAGGTGGATTTTCAAATAAATATATTATATTAATATTGTTAGAGTTGTTATGCGTTATACCTGATTGTTATAGATATAGTGTCTATATGCGTTATAATGATATTATTAAAAAGAATACGATGTAGATGCTTATTTGCCGACAGCTACACTCTTTCTATTTGACATGCATCAATTAACAATTCATCAAATATAATTTATGCAAGAAATTGCCAACAAGCTATATTATTTCCATCAAACATTAATTCCAGCTAATGTCTAAATAATACTAACTGTCCAGGGATGTGGTGTCTACGTCTAGCGTCTTTTTAGATATAAAGTATTTATGATATACTGTTTTGTTGTAAACTCTACAAGACATAATCCCATGTTGCATAGCGGAATATTATTTGATTGTATTTATTCAAAATGTTATTAAAGAAATCACAGAGGATGAAAAAAATCTGATATTATTTTGTGGGCATTAAACAACTAAAATGAATTCCATTAAAATATTTACAAGAGTTCGATATTCAATGTTCGTTTGATGTCAGAGCTAATTAAATAAAAACATTCCAAATCTCATTTCAATTTCAATATCCCTGTGTGAATAAACTAAGTAAGTTTCTCATCACTATTATTGAATATAATGTATATATTTTTATTTGATATTTTTTTTCTCACTTTCTATTGATGTTTTATAATTCCGGGCTTCGAAATGAATATACTAGCTTTCATAATATTTCGTAATTATATGAATATTTTATGTGATTATTACATAGTCACGAACTCGCTTTAATATTACTCTCGATGTTGGTGACTTAAATAAAATGTTATTCAAATTAACATGTAAATCAATGTAAAATGTGTATGTGCACCGTGTTAGCTACAGAAACATAAAACTGGACATGCAATTACACCAAATGTTTAAAGGCGTAATTGAAAAGAAAGAACATTTCACAGCATTTATCATAACACTCTTATAATATAGCACAAACATATTTAATATTGCCTGCTATATGTCTTGGTGTCAGAGTGTGAGTTCCACTGCATGTGTTGGTACAGACAGAAAACTGGGCAGGGTGTGTGCCCACAGCATGTGTTGGCACAGGCAGTGAACTGGACAGGGTGCGAGTTCCACTGCATGTGTTGGCACAGACAGTGAACTGGACAGGGTGTGAGTTCCACTGCACGTGTTGGCACAGACAGTGAACTGGATAGGGTGTGAGATCCACTCCATGTGTTTG